CATGGATCAGAGGAAAGCTAATGTAAAAGAAAATAAAACAGCTTCCTTGAATTTACTTGTAGACCAGTAAATCAATCAACAGAATGAGAATCTGAAGATCTGGAGATGATCTAGTCAACACACAGATGTTGCTACGCCTGGACCTTGACCTCTAGGTTAAGGGCTACTAGGGTTTTGTGCAGCCTTCTCTAAAGAGGTGCTCGACAAACCTCACAGCTACATTGCCATCTGTCCAGCAGCATGGTGAGCTGCTGTAGCCTTCTGAGACTGACATTATGGAAATTAAGCTCAGCACCCGGGGAAAGCCACCAGGAGATAAGGGTTTTGGTCTAGTGAAAAGTACAATCAATGGGACAATAAGGGAAGCTATATTCAAAGGCCAAGTTTATGGACCTTACACAATCTCCCTATTCAGAGTATGGAGAACTTGAGTCCATAACCCAAGCTGGGTGTGATGGCACACACCAGCAAACTCAGCACTTGGAGGCAGAAGGATCAGGAGTTCAAGGACATCCTCAGCTGCATAGCAAGACTGGGCTATTTGAGACTCTGTCTCCAATACTGTAAATCTAAACCTGATGCATTGCTACAGTAAGGGAGAAACACCTTGTTTGGACTCTCCACCCCCTTCTTCAAGGGGATTTTAATTTCCTGGTAAATCAAAGTTCACTGTTGCATTATTCTCATGGTGTGGGGTTAGCATCTAGTGAAGATGATGAAACATGATTTGTTTTTAGGAAACACAAGACGGGGCTGTAGCTCAGAGTTAAAGCAAGCACTTAATATGTGTGAGCTGCCATCAAATCCCCAGCACCAAGGGAGGAGGGAGGGAGAGAACAGAAAATAAACATAAGATATTCGACGCACAACTTCTAGATGAAGTCATAAATGACCAAGAAATTAAGTGGCCAAATGGTTGACACAAATGTTAAGTGTTACATCTGTTTCACATTTTTTCTTTAATTTTGACAGAGAGCTGAAAGAATGGAAAAGGCTGTCCTTGTCAACCAAACTTCAGTCATGTTTTTTCGGCTGAGAGGTTTATCTGTAAATCCAAAGGTACAGATGGCTGTGTTTTTCATGTTCCTCATTTTCTACGTCCTCACACTGATTGGTAACATCCTCATTGTCATAACTATCATATTTGACCGCCGGCTCCATACACCCATGTATTTCTTCCTCAGCAATCTGTCCTTCATTGATGTCTGCCATTCCACAGTCACTGTCCCAAAGATGCTGAGAGACACCTTGTCAGAAGAAAAGCTCATCCCTTTTGATGCCTGTGTGGTCCAGATGTTCTTCCTGCATCTCTTTGCCTGCACGGAGATCTTCCTGCTTACAGTCATGGCCTATGATCGGTATGTGGCCATTTGTAAACCCCTGCAGTATATGACCATAATGAACTGGAAGGTGTGCATGCTACTGGCTGGGGCCCTGTGGATAGGTGGAACCATCCACTCCATCTCTCTCACCTCACTCACCATAAAGCTGCCCTACTGCGGTCCTGACGAGATTGACAACTTCTTCTGTGATGTACCTCAGGTGATTGAACTGGCTTGCACAGACACCCACATCATTGAGATTCTCATTGTCTCCAACAGTGGGCTGATCTCTGTGGTATGCTTTGTCGTTCTTGTGGTGTCCTACGCAGTCATTCTCATGAGCCTGAGGCAACAGATCTCTGAGGGGAAGAGGAAAGCCCTGTCCACCTGCGCAGCCCACCTCACCGTGGTCACACTGTTCCTGGGACACTGTATCTTCATCTACTCACGACCATCGACCAGCCTTCCAGAGGACAAGATTGTGTCTGTGTTTTTCACTGCTGTTACCCCTCTGCTGAACCCTATAATCTACACCCTTAGAAATGAGGACATGAAGAACGCCTTAAACAAGTTAATCAGGAGGAAAGAAATAAAAGAAAAGTGAGAATACTAAGCCCTTGGGATTCTTGGTAATTCAAATCAAAGAAGCAACTGTATGTTGTATTTACCAGATGATATGACTTGTAATATTTTCTTCGGTCCTATATCTAACAATCACAATAAAGGCTGTGATTGGTAACATCCTCCACTTATAGAAATTGTCATAGGCACTGGGAACTTACTTAACTCTCTCAACAGCAGTAGATTACATGCTCTTCTGACTACAAGGGAACAAAAGCTCACACTGAGCAGATAGCATGCTGAAAGTCACCCTGCTACAAAATCATAAAGACAGGATTCAGTAGGCCCAGAATGTAGCTCAGTATAGAATATGTATTTGGCATAGAGAAGGCCCTGTGTTTCATTCCCTACTTCAGAAAAAAGGAATCCCAAGATTGGATTTCAAATCAAATCTATCAACCCACTATTGCTGGAAGAACTGGGGGAAAATACCAACTAGAATTCATTATCTCATTCTGCTGCTCCAGCTTTTCAATTAACCAGAAATGTAAACAACACTTCAGTTTCTGGACTGCCCTCATCTGCATTATTCATTCTGGTGTTTGCCTAAAGGACTTACCAAATGAAATAAAGGACATTTGAACATCACTGGTGACAAAGAAAGATCTTGAACCATTGAGGTGACTAATGCTCTTGAGAGTTCATCCAAATCTGCCATCCAAGTAATGAAGTGGGAATATTTTATTGGTTTTTTTTTATTTTACACATACTTCCTGAGCATCAAATTTGTGCTGGATACTAGATTTATTGTTACAAGTACAACTAATACATAGACACTCCTACTTGGAGTATACAGTCTAGTACCCAAAAAAAAGCAAAAATCTGAACAACTAAATGTAGTTATAGATTCAGCAAATGCTGTCAACATATGGAGCACCATAAACATGCAGAAGAGGTAGGTCCTACACTGAGAAGTCCAGAGAAACCTCTTCGAGGAAGTCACATTTTAGCTGAGGTGTGAAACATGAAAAGGAACCAACTGTGAAATAAAGAAAAGTAGCAAACACTCCAGTCAGAGGAAACAGAAGGTACAAAGATCTCTGATTGGAGAGATCTTCCAAGAGGTGACAACCACCATGGTTACAAATTAGAGACTTATTTCTACATAATAGATACCAATGAGTCTGAATATGAGTGCATGTGAATGTAAACAATGTAAGGTGTAATTACATTACTCTTTCTGAATTCTTAAACATGAGTTTAGAAGTGATATCTAGACTCTTTTCATCATCCTATTTCACATAATGTTTTAATTTTGACTTGAGTTCTATAAGAGGATTAAGGGATGGATAATATTTTGTACATTTTCATCAATTTGAGCAAAATTGTTTTTATATTTTATTACTTTTATGAAAAGCCCCTGGTTGACTTAAATAGACTGTATCTTTGCCTTCTCCAATCATTTTTTGCTCTTTTGTGGCTTTTGGTCAGCCATTCACTCTGCACCATGTGTATCTGTGATGACCTATGCATCACATACCTGATGCACCACATTGCCTAGTGTCTAATTCTCCAGAATGCACTTGGGTATCATTTCTACAAGTTAACAGAAGGTCAGTTAATATCATTGAATTCTAAATTCCTTTCAAATTAGGCAAAACCCTCCATAGGAGCCTCAAACTTCTGGTCTTGTATCTCTAACTGCATCATTAAGCCTATTCTGTAATAGACCAGCAAGTTCAAGAAGTCAGACTTTGAAATTGTGCAAATCTAAGTTCCCCTCTTAACTATTTTTATTGGTTGACTTTTCCTAAATAAACTTTAAAATGTTAATGGAAATGTTACCCAAAATGTTGTTTGTGCTCTTATGGTAAGTACTGGCACTAACTTGTGTACTGGTACTATAATCAACTACTACAACCTAGTGCTCTAAACACCATAAACATTGGTATGCAGGTATCTGTGAAATGTTGACTTGGAGTGCGTTGTGTCAACACACCATATGTGTGTGTGTGTGTGTGTGTCCTATTTTACTTCCAGAATTGCCCTCTCTTATTCCCCCTTCTCATTTCTGATAATTTTATATATATATATATATATATATATATATATATATATATATATATATGTGTGTGTGTGTGTGTGTGTGTATACATATATATGAGCTGAGAAGCTACATTTGAGAGAAATTGTGAGATATTTGTCCCTCTTCCTCTTCATTACCTCGCTTTTTCCCATCACTCCATTCTTTTAGATGCTTCCTACAATGCGGTTCTCATCCTGCTGTCATGTCTTATTTGTATTGATTTTTTTTTTACCTACAGGAGTCCAGGTATAAGTAAAAATATGTGACTGACATTTCAAGTCTGTCTTGTTTTTCTGTTATTGTTTTGTTGGTTGGTTGGTTTTTTGTTTTGTTTTGAGACAAGTCTTCATGAAACCCACACTAACTTTAAACACACAATATAGCCATGGCTGGCCTTGAACTCCTGATCTTCCTGCCTCCTCATGCCAAATGTTGAAGTTACAGGCATGCACTACCATGCCCAGTTCAGGCTTGTGTCAATTAATGTAGTCATCTCCAGCTCCATCCATGTTCCTAAAACTGACATAATTTCATTCTTCTTTACAGCTAAATAAAATCCACTGTGCATATTTTTTAAGGAACAAGATATTTGGAGATAAATTTAATGAATTATGTTTTATCATAAATTTAAATGATAATATTAATAAAGAAAATATATGTAGTTTTTCCTTCTCTTTTTTTTCTATTAAATTTTTATTTTATTTTGGGGATAGGTCGCAAGGCAGAGGGTGGATACAAAGGGATGGGGAAATGAATGGAATGGAGAAGCATGATGTGAAACCACAAAGAATAAATAAAATAATATATATTATGTATATTTCTTATATATATAATATATATGTATATATATAAGAAAATATAAGTAAATAATAGGCTCATTCAAGTTAATGGATTGAGATTGAATAGTGTTCAGTTTAGCTCTCTCCCAAGTCGCCTATGGAGTTGAAGTGACCCCAATCTAGATTCCAGCATTCTTCTCTGTAGACACTTTTCCCAAGATGCACATGAAAATGCATAACAATTTTGAGAAAGAACAATGAGGTAAGACTCACATAACATCCCTTCAAGCCCACTATAAAACTAAAATAGCCAACGCAGTGTGCTCATATACAAGTATAGACACATAAGTCGATGAGGCAGAGTAAAGAATTACAAATCCACACTTAAAAGAGCAAGTCATTTTCAGTAGAAGTCATTTAATAATAAAACAGTCATCTCAAATTGTGCCAATTCAAGTCAATGGATGAATAAAATTTATCTCAAACATACTTATTTCACACAGAAACTAAACTCCAAAGAGATCATACAGCTAGGATTTAAAGATAAAACTATAAAATGTGTAAAGTAAAACAGCCAAAAATCTTTGAGACTTTGAGGTAGACAGATTCCAGTGTGAAAGGGTCAACCACAAAAGTAAAAAAGTTAGAAGCAAATTTATCAAAGTGTTTAGCTTTTGATTGGAATATTTTATTAAGAAAATAAATTTTCCGGGCTAGAAAGATGGCTCAGTGCTTAAGTGCCACTTGTTACTTCCACATTAAGGATGCAGCCTCGACTGTTGCTGTCACAATGATTTCATGAGCAAATTCGTCTCTGCCTGAGGTGCTTCATGGCATTCTTCACCTCCTCATTCCTCAAGGTGTAAATGAGAGGATTCAGCAAAGGGGTGACCACTGTGTAGAAGACAGATACCACCTTGTCAATGGAGAAGCTGGTGTCTGGCCGAGTGTAGATGAAGATACACGGCCCAAAGAACAAAGCAACCACCATGAAGTGGGAGGAGCAGGTGGACAGGGCTTTCCTACGACCTTCTGCCGACTGTTTTCGAAGAGAAAACAGGATTACTGTGTAGGAAGTGACCAAGGCTAGGAAACAGGTGAGGGAGATGGTTCCACTATTGGACACGATCAGAATCCCCGTGAGGTATGTATCTGTGCAGGCCAGCTTGATGACAGGAGGGACATCACAGAAGTAGCTGTCGATAACATTCGGGCCACAGTAGGGAAGACGAATAGTCAAGAAGGTCTGCACCAGCGAATGAATGGTGCCCCCCACCCACAGTGCAACGACAAGCTGTACACAGACCTTCATGTTCATCACAGTGGGGTAGTGCAGAGGAATGCAGATAGCCACGTAACGGTCATACGCCATAATTGTCAGCAGAAATATCTCGGCACAGGCAAAGAGATGTAGGAAGAAGAGCTGTGCGATGCAGTTGTCAAAAGAAATGGTCTTCCTCTCCAAGAGCAGACCCTCCAGCATCTTGGGCACGGTGACAGATGAGTGGCAGATATCAATGAAGGACAGATTGCTCAGAAAGAAGTACATGGGAGTGTGCAGACGTGGGCTAAAGACGATGGTAGCAACAATGATAGCGTTCCCCAGGAGAGTCAGCACGTAAGTGATGGTAAACGGTATGAAAAACAGAATCTCCAACACCCAGTTGTCAGTGAGGCCCAGGAAGACAAACTCAGTCACTCTTGTTTGGTTTAGAGCGCCCATCTAATGAGTGTTCCAGAGGATCTGGAGGGGGGAGGTACATTTTAAATTATCCTGAGTAATCAGGAATAGAGTGATTGAAAGGACTGTTTTTCTATGAGACTTAGCGTGAATATGTAAGTTATCCAAAATCCTTACCCTTTATTTACCTGGCTATTTTCATTTCAGAATAACCCACCAATAGAATCAGATTAGAATTCTAAAATTGTAAAACTCCAACTAAAACCACTCATTGACTTTTGCTATTAAGATAAGTGACCTTGAAAACCTTTAACAGTCTTTCATTTTGTTCAGTCTAGGATCCTTTTACAACCATTAAAATACTATTCATCTTTTACTTGATTTTTTATTATCACAAAGCACTGACTTTAAGAAAAATCTCTCCTGATTCCATAAAAGCCTGCTTCTCTTTGATAATTACTTTATGGTACTTAACTATAATAGAAAGTAAGAGATTTAGTTTTTATTCTCATTAACTTAACTTTTCTCTAAAAGTACAGAAGTAACAGAAGGATTATGAGAGCTAGAGGACCAGGAAAACCTGCTGTGAGAATGTGTTCCCTAGAAATGACAGGGAAGCCTCACCCATGATACTTCAATATAGCTACCTAAACAAGACCTGAACAAGCACAATACCAATAGACACTCTAACATGAAGAGGGGAATCTCATGGGCCCAGCCCTAAACAGAGAAGTACAGGCAACTAAGGAATACTAAGTGTGGAAGAAATAATCTTCCCAGGGTTGAGCCTTCTATTTGGTTCTCCAGTAACAAGTGGTCGGCTCTGAAATGATATAAACACACGTAACACTAAATGTTCAATGGATTAAGCAAGTTGTATTTATATAGTTATACATGTATATGTTTGTGTATGTGTATAAATATTGTATATATTATATATATGATAATTAAAGAAAAAAGGCAATGAATTCAAGAGGGAGCAAGAGAGGGTACATGAGAGGGATTGGAGAAAAGGAAGGGGGAAATAACATAATTAGATTTTAATTGTACAAAATTTTTAATTTTTCAACCACATGATCTACCTCTTGCAGCACTTTAAAGGTACTTTGTACATTGTAGGTTTCCAAAATCATTTTATTTATACTAAACTAACTTCTTAGGCATTGTGAATCCAATCATACCCTCACAATAGAACTAATAAACCACAAATTATGATTCTTTAAATTCTGTAATATGACTTTTCTGCCAGGAAATATTATATACAAATACTATCACATTGCTCCTAATTGTTCATGCTGGTTAGAGAGACTATAAACTATAAGATAATCAACACAAATCACCAAAACAATGAAGCTGTGATCCAATTATTTCACTTATGGTAAGGTAATCTCTTACAGTATCCAAACCTCAGAAAAAGCTAAAGGTGGAGGAATATCAAACCTAGTACTATTTGAAGCAACCTAACTGTCATGGGGTTGGGTGGGGGAAGTCTGAATGAATGCAGTGAAATTTGACCAGACTTGTATCCAGCCATTTGGAATGATGGCGACAAGATTACCAACATGACAGCTATTGAAACAGTATGTAAGAGCGACATTTGATAGTGTATTCTCAACATCTCGTTAGATGGTGGTGCTACATTAGTTATCAAAAGACAAAGAGAAGTCAGGAAAAGGTGACAGAACACATATGACAGAAAAGGAGAATATTCTCTTATTCAAAAACCCTTAAAATTTGATAGTGAAACACAAATGATCAAACTGAAAATGAGCAAAAAATATAAACACAAAGATTACAGGAAAGGAATCACAAATGAGAATTATGTCTAAGTGAAAGTTGTTCAACTTCAGTGGAAGTTAAGAGACTAAAACCAAATACATTTGGTTTTGTGACATTGACCAAAGCATAAAAAACTGATCATTCTTTACACAGTGTTACCGAAAGTCAGTATTCTTAAATCTTTTTGGTGGCTAAGTTGACAGTACCAATGAGAATTTTAATGTCTATACTTCTAGACCAAGGAATCCCATTTTCAAGACTGTATTTCTTTGTTTTTTAAGACTGTACTTCATAGAACTAAGGGAACCAGTAACTAGTAACTAAAGATACATGCTTATTGAAATACTTTTTTTGTAGGAGCCAGAGGGGTCAAGGACATCACAAGGAAATGCACAGAATCAACTAACCTGGATTCATAGGAACTCACAGAGACTGAACTGACTCTGTGGGACTCCTAACAGTAGGATCGGGGGCTGTCTCTGACTCTTTTACTGGCTTTTGGTACCCTACTCCTCATACTGGATCATCTTGTGTGAAAAGAATCTATTAGGAACATATTGTGAATGTTGAAAAGGGAAGGAGAGAAGAAGAAAGGAACACAGGAAGGAATCAAAAGACATTTGTATATGCATATATGTACATGTATATATACTTTAATATACAAATATATGTAAATATTCATTATTTCTATTTGTATATATTTCTAAAATAGATGTTGAAGAATACACATCAATTTTAATATTGTTTGCTTCTATGAGCATGGGATTGAAAGGAATAGGAAGATTTTAGTAATTTGTATATTATATTCTATAATTATCTATATACTAGGCACGCTTTAAAAAGAGAATATTAAAAAATGTATATAAAGAAGATATCAAAAAATTGGTGACCTCATAGAGCTACAAGTAATTTCTTTCTTGTCTGTGTCTAAGGGATTATGATATGGGGGTATTGTTGTTTGTCTTGCTTTGTGAAACAGTTTCACTATACTACTCAGGCTGGCCTCGAACTCCCTTTGTAGTCCAGGATGACCTTGAACCTTGTGCCTTCCCACCACAGTCCCATAAGTGCTGAAGTTACAGGCATGCACAAACATATCTCGCTACAATTGTATCTTTTATAAAGAAAGATGCCTGCGCTGAACATCATCTCTGTCTTCATTAAAACATGAAGCCACACAGTCATTTTGCTTTGGTTTGGTTTTTTAATGATACTGGCAACTGAACCCGTTTAATGTATGGGTCTAGGCAGGTACTCTACCACTGAATTATATTCTAAATCTATGAGGACTCTCAAATACAGAAAAAAATTAGACTTAGTACATTGCAAAATAAGGATGTTAAATAAAAAAATATTAAATTCAAAGTGCTGAGTAAAAAAAATGTTAATTAAGAAATGCCTCTTTGTGAAGCTGGGGGAGAGATGCCCCCACCCCCGTTACCCCTCGCCCCTCCCCTTTACCAGCTGCAGCACTCAGGAAAGCAGACCCTGCTCCTCACCTGGGCAGCACAGTAGAGCTGACCCGTTGGCAGAGACAAAGGTGAGCTGGCCCTGAGGGTATGAGAGTGGGATAGCTGGCCACATCCGTGTGATGGTGAGGGCAAGGGAAAGATGCCCTCCCCCGCCCTGCCCCTACCACCTGTGGTGGTCGAGGGAGCTGACCCTTCCCCCTTACCAGCTTCAGCACTGGGCAAAGTGGGTCCTGCACCTCGCCTGGGCAGCACAGTGGAACTGGCCCTGAAGGCATAGGTGTGGGATAGCCAACTCTAATGGTGTGAAAGCTGGAGAACTGGCCCCAGCCCTTGCTCGTTGCTACAAGGGGTGAACTAGCCAGGGCAGTGCTGGAGAGCGCAGCCTGGTAGTGAGGACAGGGGAGAGCTGGCAGCTGACCAACCCTGCAAGCACCCAGGCCCAGAACCAGAGTTATGAGTTGGCCCACCCCAACATCCAACCCATCTATGATCTGCTGGAGCAAGTGAAGGGGCTGGTCCTGCAGATCCAAATGCTGCAGGATCTCCACAACACAGGGCAACAACATGATATTCAAGAGGAGCCCCAGTGTGGGCCCAGCATAGCATGGCAGAAGCCAGGGGCCTCACACCAAACCAATGACTCTTTATAATGAAGACTTGCAAATAAAGATATATGAATAAAAGGGTTTACTGTGTGACTCACTCTGTCACACTACAGCTTCCGTGACAAGAATGATTTTTCCTATATTTTTTCTTTTTTTTTTCCTCTTAAATTTTATTTTATTTTATTTGGGGAAGGAGGTCACAAGGGCAGAGGGCAGACACAAAAGGATGGGGAAATGGATAGGATCGAGATGCATGATGTGAAAGATTGAAAGAATAAATAAAAAGAAAGTTTTCGAAAATGCCTCTTTGGGGCTGCAGAGCAGCCCTGTGGCCAAGCATTCACCTAACAGACACAAGGCCCTGTGTTTGATGCTCAGCAGAAGAAACAGAGGGGGAAAGAGGGAAAGCGGAAGGAAAGATTCCCTCTTTCATTGACTTAGTAATAGGCCTTTTAAGATAAAGAAAACTATTATCTGGGTATTGTGTTATTATCTGGGTGTTGTAGCACACACCTATAATCTCAGCGCTTTGGAGGCTAAGGAGGAGGGATCAAGCTTTCCAAAGCCTGCATACTGAAACACAGTGCCATGCTGCTTAAAGCACACTAAATGAAAAGTAAGCAAGGAAACATGCAGTGGCCTTTAAGGAACAATAGGCTCCATGCACCCCTTGAGGAAAGGGAAATATTTATTTTTTTCTATCCCTATAACAAAGTACTTGTCACAAAAAAAAAAAAAAAAAAAAAACACTAAATATTTTTTATCTGGAAAAAGATTTTAAATAATATTACAAATAAAAAAACAGTGAAAAGACCAAACTTTGGGGAGACGAGCTGACATACGTTGCAGTAGATGTGTATTCTGTCACGGAGCAGGAGAGCCAAAGGGCCAGAACCCCCACTGGGCATGAGGAATGTGCCAAGGTGTGCATAGTGAGGCAGGGAAAGCCAGCGGCCAGCTCGCCAGCTCGCCAGCTATTTAGCTCCTCCTAGAGTTTTAGAATTCCCACAGCAGCTCCCCATCACAGGCCACAATGACTTTCCCTTTTGTTGACTACTCCTCTGTAGAGGTTATTGCACAACCAGAGACTAAAACCCTTTGTTTTCAGACTCCTCAGCTTAAGCCTCCTGGTGTCTGTCATTGTATCGGGAATCCCCAAACTGTATTTCCTGTCCTCTGCTGTATGTTTCTGCCTGACCTCTATTTGAACACTGCAGGGCCAAACCTCAGTGAAGACATACTTAGAAGGGGCTCCTTTGGCAAAGGGAAGCCTCGGTGTCCATCACAGTAGCCTACCATTTTTAGCTTCAGGTGTATCTATAAAATGCTGGGCCGCCAAGACCTTGCTTGAATGAATCCAGTATGAGAAAATGTTCCACACTAGTAGAATGTCGGGGGTGGGGGGTGGGGGGGGTAAGAAGAGGCACAGAGGTACTACAAAGAACTTTAAACTTTTGACAGCTTCACGGCCCTAGTAAGATGGAGTGCAATAAGCTTCAGGAGCGTTTTAGGCCTGGTGTCATCATGACAAGATCAGAACTCCATCCCATCACCCGTTAAAGGTCTGCCCTATTTGGCGGATTGCTGCAGACAACTGAGTTAAATTAATTCTTGAATCTTTTGCCAGATTGTACTTCATTTCTTTTTTCTTTCTTTTTCTTTTTTTTTCTTTTTTGCCTTTAAAATAGTCTACATCATGTTTTATTTTTAAGACTTGACTCTTTACTGTATAAATGAGATCATCTGCCTGGTGGCCAACCAACACAGGGAACAATGCCTCTGAGAAGGAAAATTGCACTCAAAGAAACGCAGGAATGCCTTCTGCTCTGCATGCAGAGAAATGCCTCAACTTCACATTCCACGTGCATGGGTGCAGTCATGAGGAGCCCTAGAGAACAACCCTAATAGGGAAGCCCAAGCAGCTTAGGTAAGCCACCGTGCCTCAGCTAGTCCTCCATATCTTTACAGGAGCATCCCAAAGCTGATCTTTGAGCTGGCTTCAGAGCACAGAGGAGCGTTTTCCTCTGGTGATGAGACAAACAAGCAAGGAATAGGTGGGCACATGGTAGCAAGGGGGTTTCTTCTCTGGTAGATTTTGTCAAGCTCAGCAGTCATTCTATGAACTCTTCTAGGAATTGTGCTAGAGAGTCAAACATGAAGACCCAGAGGGAAGGGAGAGTGTTGATCCCTCCTGACTCCAACCCCCACCACCACCACAGTCCACTGATTCTTTCAGTAATCAGAAGAAGAAAGAAGACCAGAAAAGGTAACAAACCATAGCCTCAAATATCTACCGAGTCTAGGATAGTGTGCGTGTGTGTGTGTGTGTGTGTGTGTGTGTGTGTGTGTGTGTGTGTGTGTGTGAGTGTGTGTGTGTGTGTGAATGTGTGCACATGTGCATGCATTGTGTACTACTGGGATGCATGTATTCAGGCACATTTGTAGAGTGGTACCTTTATAGAAAGCAGCACATTAAAAAGAAAAATATGGCCAATTCTGAATACAAAAGAGGGATTAAAATCAATCTAAGTTAAAAGTACTGCTGTTAAGTTTCTGAGCCACCACATAGATACAATTTATCCGATAAATACCTGGAAAAGAATCTTGTTCAGTGCCGTGTCACAGTGTAGCCAGGTGCAGACCCACAAAAGGATGTGAAGGAGTGTCAATAAAGGGTGCTTTCACTACCGATATTCTCCAGCTGTCCAGAAATGATCTGGCTAATTCATAGAGTGGTATTATGTTCTTTCATTCACTCTTCTTGTAATTCCTTCAAGAGATAAAACACAAACAGTGAAATAGTTTCAATAAGTAACTCACTCTGATTTAGGTAACTAGTCTTCTGTGTGAATAGTTATATCATTATAATATTGGTCCTTTGGACTATTTTTAAAGATTTTCCTTTCTCTGAAAATTCTGATTTATACTTTCAAATGCTTTTTCCTTCTTTCTGGCCAAGAAAAGAAGAATTAAGCCTCACTTTTCCAGTGTCACTTCAAGCAGTCACTAAGCATGACATCCACTAGAATGTACATTAATATCTCCCCAGATTTGTCCCTCAAAGGTAAGACATTCATTCTGCACATTTTGCATACAAGAAAAATATTTATTCTAGGTAATATAAATGCCTTGTTACTTGAGGAGATATGACCTGATACTAATATTAAATTTAAATTTTTTTTCTGGGAAAATGTGAGTTGTTAAGAAATCTATGTCAAATCAAGTCTAGTTAATCTCAGGTTCTTTTGTTGTCCACATGACTTCATGAATGTCAAGTGAAGACTTTTTTGTGAATTGATGTATTTAAAGGATACACTTGGGCAAGTCACTTCACTTTATTCTCATTAAGAAAGTAGGGGAAATTGACACTTTAATTACTATGACAGTTAGCATTATGTGTCAGTTCGACTATGCCATGGAACCCAGATGTCTGGTCAGTGACCTAGCTATCGCTGTGATGGTAATTTTATACATGATTAAAACTTAAATCAGTAAACTTTGGGAAAAGCTGATCATCCTTAATAATGTGGACAGGCCTTAGCCACTCACTAGAAAGCCTTACAAGAGTGAATTTTCCAGCAGAAGGAAAGATTCTGTCTCCAGTTCTCTCTCTCTCTCTCTCTCTCTCTCTCTCTCTCTCTCTCTCTCTCTCTCTCTCTCTCT